AGGGAACAGCAAAACTAGCACTTCAGCCAGTTTGCATATTAAAAAAAAAACAAATAGTAAAAACATTTTATGATAATATTGGAGATGTTAGTAGGGCATGGCATTACATGTTGTGAGGTGAGCACTTGAGAAGAGAGAATATGGATTTAACAACAGTTTACCATAAGAAGAGCGACATATCCAACCAACCATCCATCCCCACCTGTGCCCTATTCTTTCCTTGTGTTTCTTTAGAGCCTTTTCAGCTATTTCCTGTGAAGCAAACTGCACGAAGGCCTCCCCCGTACTCCTCCCCTGGAAGTCCACCGGCAATGTTATCCCATTTGGCACGATTTCCAACCCTTCAACCCAAGGACAAATAACCCCAGTAGGGGGGTAATATTAACATCACAAGCCCAATCATGATTTTCTTATAGCTTTAAAATACACCAGTAGTTATACTTTAAATCTAGAATCAGCATGGAATTATCAACACTATATAAAAACATGTCAACATGAACACTTATCATATACTAGTAGATTCTTAAAAACCTGTTTACAAAATACACATTTCTACAATGTTAACATTAATAATCTCTAAAGCACTTCAGTTTATCAATTAAATTTCTCTTTAAAAAGTATAACATTTTATAAAGCATTACAAGTTTTAAACAACTTCATGCAAAACATTTAACAGCTCTAACAATGAAATCACGAACTGGCATTTATATAAAAACTCATTTGAAAAACTGTACATGCATACCATTAATATTTGCAAAAACATTTTTCAAAAATCTATTACATAAATTGATCTTATGAATCTAATTCAACTAACAAAACATTCAGATTTATCTGGACTACTACTACATATTCCAAACATTCTGATGTAATCTTCACTTCTGTCTTTTGTCTAATCCTGTTTTCTCATGCTATGAACTGTAATTCACCTCCCCATGAATTTTTATGAAGCCACCAATTTTATCCAATCTTGAAAATATCCAATACTTATAAACATAAGACAGGCAATTATCTTGTGCTCCCTTATTACAAATGTCAGAAAACACTAAGATTCTAACATTCATTTCAGAATATATGAACATCAAATTTAGACATGTGGTCAAAAGAAAAAAACTCATGAGATCCACAGTTGGGCAACATAAATTGATACCAAAAGTAACAAGTAGGAATTAATTCACTCTATAATTCCAATTTTGAAAAGAAATCTAAATGCAGCCCTAAAGACTTCACATCAAGCCTACTTCTTGTTCCCTGGGTTTCATCCTCCCCCACCTATACTTTATTTAAAATCCAGTCTGATATGGTCAAATTCTAAAAAATACTAAACATTGTTCAAAATTTGATGACATTGATTCATTCTAATGAAGAAACCAGCCTAACTGTGGATTTTAGGATAATTTCAGCATTTATCTTCTTCCACCCTTTCAATCAAGCTACAATTACAAAACTAATTTCTATATTTTCAACACGTTATCTAAAGCTATGCAAAAATTCTAAGCACTTGACTAAACAGAGTGGAAGAGTTTAAATAACAGCTTTGCCTCCAGTTTATTAACATTTATTTCACTGCTTAATATATTAACCACCCTTAATATTGTAAAGGTTCAAAGGACCAAATTTTAGGGGATACTTTAAAATCTGGAGGCAGTTTCCAAGCAAAAAACAGTTTAAAAGATTTTCGTTTTAATATACCCAAAAGCATTAACCATTCAAGATTGGCAGTTTAAGTATGGCTTGCTTTATAACTAGCCATTATTTCAGTGCCACTAAAACCTAACCTTTCCCCACAACTATAGCTAGAACTTGTACCCCACATACCTGAGAAAAACTGAACAATTTCTTCCTTGCTACAACCAAATGGAAGTCCTCTAAGACGTACAAAACCATCATTAGCCGTATCAGGGCTGTTAGGACCAGTATGCTTCAGAACCCAATCCATTTCAACGTTGTTTGACTTGAAGACTGTAAGAGGCACTTAGAATTAATGAATTTTGGAATTTTGTACAAAAACATCAATGCACAACAATCATTTGGAAAACACGTTCAAGTTCACACAAACGCAGAAAAGTCATGCACCTAAAACTCCACCCAAATGAAAGCCTATTTAGCGAGTTACTACGGCAATCCAAACCTTCAACATATCTGTGTCCCATTGTTTCTCTGTCTTTTTTCAGTGCCAACTTCACATCTTCTTCAGTTTCCAGTTCCACAAATGCTTCACCGCTTGGTCGTCCTTCCCTTGTGTAGATAAAACGGACCCCTGAAGATCCATTTAGTATTTTGCATTCTATGAAGAAGTGGGAGAACCAGTTAGGCATACCAACAGACCACCATCTCAAGTCCCACTGACTTCAGTCTACAAAGCTTGCCTTATGATGCTTCAATCTGAAATGAGCAACTGTGGTCTCAGTAGATACCTGTATATCTTTTCTGAACTTTAAGGAATACCAATTCATAGAAATAACATCTCACAGAATCTTCCATTAAGAGTATGCTTTAAAAATTACAGAAAACAAAAGCAAAGGATAAATACAATTTTTCAATCTTTTGTCCGACGTTTGCACCACTTTTCTTACAACACTCTATAATAGAAATCTTGCCATGCTCAATACCAGTTATTTTAAAAACTGACTTGAATACTTGATTTACAAATTAAATTAAAATCACTATCTCTGAAGCTAAAAACTTAAGGAACCTTTTCCTCTTGCGGCAAGGATGTGAGTCCCAAAATATTAAGCATGCATTTACTGATTTCCCAACAAAAAGCGAGAGATTCCCCCCTCCCGGCAACAGATAGAAAAGGGGAGGGGGGGGCGCACAGACCAAACTCTTACCGGAGAAAAACCTCTGCACTTCATCGGCAGAACAGGACCAGGGCAGTCCGCGCACTTTCACGACATAGCCCTCGCCGCCTTCGGTGTTTAACATCATGCTGGAAGTGAGCGTAGTCTCGGTTTCACCTTCTGTTGCTACGGGGCAGACAAAGACGTCGCCACACTGAGTGGGGGAGAACATCGGCAGCCCTATACCCGCCCGCCCGCCCTCTTCGCCTTCTCCCGCCTTCCCACGTCTACCCCACGTACACATGGCAAGAGAAATCTTCGTCCGGAGCAGCACAGAAGATAGTAAAAGTCACTTCGCCTCACCAGACACGGAAGGCCGGGCGGCGTCAGCAGGACGCACTCAGTTCTTAGGAAATGGCGCCGAGCGCGTATTGCGTTTCCGCTCGACCAGGCCCTGGCGCCGCCCCCGCTTGCTAAACAACAGGCCTCAGCCGCCCTGAGCAGCTGGGGAAAAAGTCAGCCGCTCCCCGGGACCGCGGGCCTTGGCGAAGAGCTCAAAACAAGGAGGCCGCAACTACGGACTCCCAAACTGAGAGGAGGCTCACCTTCTAAAGTCTGGCGCGGCGTGGCCGAAAATGGAGACCAGGACGCATGCGCGTAAATAAGCTCCGACACAGCGCACGCGCCGTGCGGCATCGGCGTCTCTCCCCTCCCCCAGCCTGCTTGAACACCATCTGCGCATGCCCTGCCTGGCAAGACCTAACACACCGTTATTGGGGAGTCGGAACTCTTGTGGAACTTAATGGAAATACTGTAGTTGGGTACGCTGACCAAGCCTGACGTATCGCCGCTCCCTCACCCGCAGCACATAGTACTTTGACGAAGCGACTCTATTCCTGCCATAGCCTACGCTACCTAATTGAGTCTCGACGTAATTATACGCATGCGTTCACAACAATGGCCTACAAGAGCAGCAGCGTCAGGGTTAATTATCGTGTATAAGAGAAGTCGCCGTACTCGTTTCAAAACAGGAAATCACCGAATTGTGAGACAATATAAAGTCAATGTTATCCACGTCGAATCCAAAGGTATAGCATAACTTAATACTTTGGCGGAAAAAAAGCCTTAAGATACAGCGCGTACTATCTGGCACTTCCCATGGATGCAAGCATTCTGGACATTGGAAAATGAAAATCCACTAATTTGAAGAACGCTTAGGTACTTTTCTAGTTGAAATCCGTCTGGGAATGACCTAAAGAAAAATCACAGCAAACACCAGTTTCACCAGTTTTTCGATTTTACCAACAAACAAAAGCAATAACCGCGTTGGCGTAATGCAACAGGGCCATAAACAGAGCTGAAGCAGCACAAAAAAACACATAAAATGTCTCCGTTGTCCCAAGCACACAATAGCTGAAATTCAATAGTAAGTCACAACTAGAGTAAGCTCACTGAAATCTAGGCAAGTTCCACTGATTCAATCGGCCGACTCTAGTTACCACATACTACTACGGGATTTCAGGCCACGCCACTATGAAGAGTCCATTTTAGTCCTTCCCTACTAGCTATTCCCTCGGCAAGCGAGCGAGCCACGATTCTTAACACAAATTCCCAAGTCCCTACTTAGGCGACACCTTCAGAGGCCAAACAGGCAATAAAAACACGCTTCAGCACGTAAACGTTGCCACCTCAAATTTCGCTCCCCACTTCACAGGGAAAGAGCGTGATTTAACCGTTGGGCCGGGAGGGGGGGTTTCGTAATTATCAGCATAGCCTCCACCTGTCGGTGGTTTTAGGAACTCCGCCTCATGGTAACATTTTGGCTATAAACCTCATAGGACTAACTTCCTGAAAGGCTCAATGCCCCCACATTCAGATGAGTGACTTCACACAACTCCCAAACCCGCCGAGCACCAGCCAAACCACACGGCTCTACATTTTAGCTCCTACTACAACCGCGGATGAGTGGCCTGCGACACGGAGGTGGAGGGGGGGGTTGGATGATAGCTTGGCAAGGCAGGACTCGGCAGGCACAAGGGCTGCGAGTACCCGTCCCAAACTGCGTCTAACTACAGGGTGGGAGAGCAATTTCTGGAAAGCGGGAATTCTCCGTGCTTTTGAGACAAAAAAAAAAAGAAGTGGGGCGGAGCAGGGGCGAAAGGAAGGGCTGGCCGCCCCCAAGGATTGGCCGCTGAGAGGCGGGATTCTTGAAGCGGCAGGAAGGCGCGAAAGCAGAGCGCTACACTCCCTTTTCAGGAACAGAGAAGCTGAGGGCGGCTCGTGATGTCTCCGCCGTGCAAGCGCCATTGCCTCAGTCCCCCCCGCTCGCTGGACTGCAGCTTCCAGAAGCACCTCAAAAAAGTCTCCATTGAGGGGAACATCGGTAAGTGCCTCTCCGCCGTCCCGCCTTATGTGCACAGCACGGCACTTCCTCATCCTTTAACACCCAAGAGCCGAAGGGAACTATCCCGTCCATCGGAAGCTTGCTTTTTGAAAACTCGGCCGTGACTCGTTCCAGCGGGACGGAAATCCTTTCCCCCACTCACCCAGTCGCTCTCCCCCGGTGCGTGCCTCCCAGTAGAAGTTTAATGGCGCCAAATTCCCGGAAAGTAATTGCACGGGGTTGGCGGGATTTTTCGAAGCAGCCTTTATACTGCAACTGCGCTCTCGTGCTATTAGCACTTCTGCTCAAAAATAATTTCACAAGCAACCCGGTGCTCCTCGCCTAACATGAAAAACAGACTAGCAAACTGAGCATGCAATTTCATGAATGTCTTGCTACAAATTAATACGAGATTTCTTACAGATGCCCTACCCCACTGGTTCTTAACCTTGGGTAACTCAGGAGTTTTGGACTGCAACTCCCAGAAGCCTTCACCACCAGCTGTCCTGACGTGTTTCTGGGAGTTGCAGTTCAAAAGCATCCGAGTAACAAAGGTTAAGAACCACTGCCCCACCCTACTGCACATTTCACTGAGGGCGTATGCAAAAGGCATACTATTTAGACCTTAAAACCCACAGATATTTGGAGTTGGTCAAGGGTTACTTTCGTCGTTTGCTTCTGTACTCTTTGTTCCTCTCCCTTAATGCTCTGCACATAACATACTATGATTCACTACTTAACTTGAGTTCTGGACTGAAAGCAAGTCAGAGAAAACTACATATTCAGAGTCAGGACTGTAGGGAGAAAAAGGATACAGATGTATAAGTCAGTCTGAGTAGACTATGGCTCTCCAAGATGGAAGTGTGCCAGAAGATCTTGTGTCTGAATTATAGGAATACCAATGATTTTATCTTGTTTTCTTTACAGCTGCAGGAAAATCTACATTTGTTCATTTACTAGAAAGATATAATGATGAGTGGGAAGTAATTCCTGAACCAATTGCTAAATGGTGCAACATCCAGACATCTGAAAATGAGCACCAAGTAAGTCCCAACTATTGACTACAGTAATTTGGGGGTGGGGTGGGGATAAAGTAAATGGCCTTAAAACTTCAGCCAAAATCATTATACATTATTTTGGAATTACAGGGATGTATGCTAGCAAATCAGTTCTAAAGATAGCTTAACTATTTTGATGCTACTGTGCCATACCTAAGTACTGTATTTTATGACCGAAGTTATATAGACCCTTCGCAAGGCCTGTCTGTAACTGGGGAAAAAAGTGACTCAAGCACATTTTATAATTAACAGGAACTTTCAACATCTCAAAAGAATGGGGGAAACCTGCTTCAAATGCTATACAGCAAATCTACAAGATGGACATATACATTCCAGACCTATGCCTGTTTGAGTAGAGTCAAAGCACAACTGAAGCCAGTTTCTGCAAAACTCTATGAAGCGGAACATCCTGTGCAGTTTTTTGAGAGATCAGTGTACAGTGACAGGTAAACATGTAATAATTTACATGAATATTGTTAGTAATGAGTAAGAAATAGTCCACATACTATGTATCAAAATGGCATACCTGCAACAGAAACATTCTGGATGAAATTATTTCATCCTTCCAGAAATAACCACAGCTACATAGAACTTTTAGGTTCTTCTCTAATTTCTAGATCTTGTCCATAGCTACTTAGTTTCAATGGGACTATACTAATCTACTTAACTTGATTCTAAATGCTTTCAAAATTCTTCATATCTTAACTGGGATTTCCTTACAAAAAGGTATTCTATGTAGGACTGCAGCTGTGATTATTTTTGTACAACATTATCAAGTCTGCTATTTAATCTCATAAAAATATTTTATTATAGGTATGTGTTTGCTTCCAACTCATTTGAATCAGGAGATCTCGATGAAACAGAGTGGGCAATTTATCAGGACTGGCATTCATGGCTTCTGAACCAATTTGAGTCCAACCTGGAGTTAGATGGCATTATCTATCTGCGAACAACTCCTGAGGTATGTCCACCACCCTTGGCAGCTACAGTTTTAGATACACAGAGCAAAAACCAATAGAAATTATGTGGGTACAAAAGTCTCTGCATTAGATTCTCAAATGGAGTGCTCCTTCTTAAATTTCTTAACAGAAAATTTTATTTCTAAAAAGACATATTGCTTCATAAACTTCATAAATTAAGACTGGATATAGATGCAGTATTTAACAACCATGCCATTTTCAAAGTAATCTGAGAGTTAAAGTCATCCTTACATTTGTAGGCAAGACGTAATTCAAGAAATCATTACAGTGGTGCCTCGCATTACGACATTAATTTGTTGCAGCAAAATCGCTGTAGAACGAAAACGTTGTAATGCAAAAAGAAAAAACCCGCTGAAACACATTAAAACCCGTTTAATGCATTCCAAAGGGCTGTAAACTCACCGTAGCGCGAAAATCCTCCATAGGGCAGCCATTATGCAGCGAGGAATCCATCCCAGAAAACAGTGGGGGGCCATTTTGTTTACCCGGCGGCCATTTTGAAACCGCCAATCAGCTGTAGGGAAATCATCCGTTTTGCGAAGAATCGGTTCCCGAAGCAGGGAACCGATCATCGCAAAGCGAAATTCCCCCATAGGAAACATTTTGCGATCGCAAAAGCGATTGCAAAATGTTCGTCGTAATGCGGTTTCGTCGTTGTAAAGCAATTGTAAAGCAAGGCATCACTGTATTTATGTTCTACCCTATTATGAGAGTAATGCTTATTAAGTCCTTGGTTTATAGGAAGTATGTATAAGAGTATGTATGTTTCATTGATTATAAAAATGTAAAGAAAACAAAAAATGCATGTAATCCAAACCAATATCAAATTACACATTTACCTTTTAGCAGTGCAAGTCAAACAAAAACTTAAATTAAAACATGCTGAATCAGATCATGCTCTATTTAGAGCAATTGAAATTTTAACAAGAATTTTCCTGCAAAAACCACATCACTGATTACTATGGAGCCAGGAGATCAAAAATGTGTACATATGTATGCCCATTTAGACCGAAACTGGAGACAGTTTTGATGTAGGCAAATTGGAACTTTTCATACTGGTATTCCCAAAAGCTGCTTTTAAAATTTGCAAACTTCAAAGCTAAGGCATCAGCATAGTATTATGCAAATACTGTCTGTTCTCCAATGTGAACAGTTGGAGATTCTCACTTTGCTTTGAACAAAATAAGGCAAAAAAGGTCAGTTTCTAGGTTTCTGATATGTCCCTAAACTGCCTGCAGGGCAAGTTTGCTAAGGTTGTATATACAACACATAGGCTAAAAGCCAACTGAGCAACTATAAAGACTGATAAAGTCATCAGAACCATCAGCTATGCATGTTAATCTTTAATTTAAAGTTTCCAGTCTCATGCCAGCACTCACTTCTGAGGCTCCCTTTAAACCTTGGAAAGCCTTTGGGAGTCATGCCATGGGCAGAGAGCATTTAATGTCTCAAAATTACCAGGGCCAGAGGTGCCAATTTTTCAGATATTAAAGACGCCCATCCTCACCTCGAGGCTCCCAAAGGCTTCTCTAGATAAAAAAATGGATTCCTGGGAACTTAAGAGGTGGGGAGAACAATTACTATGCGCCATCAAGCCAATTCTAACTTATGGCAATCCCTTCTAGAGTTTCCCAGTTACAGGTTTCTCAGATGTGCACTTGCCATTCCCTTCTTTTGAGGACACCCTGGGACTATGCAGTTTGCCCAGGACTACACAACCTGGTTTTTCCCCCTGGAAGGCACAATGGAGAATTGAACTTGCAACCTCTATCTCTCTAGCCAGATACTAAACTCACTCAGGGGATAATAGCAGCCTTTATAGGTGCAGAGTCACTCAACAGAACTTTAGCCACCATAATAAACCACAGCCAGGTCACAATCTTTATCTTTTTAAATCAGCAACATAAACAGCACCTTTGTCCTTGAAACAACTTGGTTCTGTTATAGAAAAGCACAGGAAACTGTAACTGTTGAACTTAACTGCCAAAAGAGGTTTTTTAAATCAGGATATCAAAAAAAGATAAACTCTTAATTTCTGGTATATACAAGGAGAATTCAGTCCTACCTACCTAGGCAATTGTAATCCCAAAATAAGTCTAAGCCTAGACTGCATCCTGACATCAGGGTTCCATAGAAGTACTCTGTTGCCAAGATACAACAATAAGGAATTTTACTGATTGTTTTAAAACATTCTACTAGTAAGATATCTTTTTAAATGAAGCATATATAGACATGATAACATTATCAAAATAGCACACTTGTTAAAATAATATTTCAGTGAGTTGTCTCAAGCTTTAGATACATTTGAGTGTCAACAGCATGCAGAAATGTATTTAGCTATCAAGCAAATAATTATAATCCTAAACTCATTTACTTTGTTGCAAGTTAGCATGCTTTGGAAATTCTGAGGTCACTCTCACCTAAATAGGTAGTTAAGTAATTAGTATACTTAAATAGTTCTGAGACAAGTATTTTTAAAGTCAGAATCTATAATTTATACAATTTTTTTACATAGCAAATTATGTAGCTTATTCAAGAGCAAATAAAGGTTAGGCTTTGAGAACCTTTTTTGTAATCAACATATGATGTGCTTAATGCTTTATTGACACTGAAAAACAGAAGTGTATGGAGAGACTGAAACGCAGAGGAAGAGAAGAGGAACAAGACATTCAACTGGAATATCTAGAAAATCTTCACCACAAACATGAAACTTGGCTTCATGAAAGGACAATGAAGTAAGCAGCTTGTAATGTTTTAACTTTTATCTTGAATGTATTCTTACTACTGAATGAGTTCTTCAAGCCTCTGTTGAAACTCAGCGGATTTCTAGAACCAGAAAATAACAGACCAGAATGGTGCTGTCTTGCAGCAGAATTAAGGCTGCATATCCAGGACTTCTGTGGCTGTTTACATGTTACTCTGATTGTAGCATCAGAAAGTTCAGTTTTAATCAAGCATCAATGTTCAGCCTTAGCTGCGAATATCACAGTTTAGTTTAGACTAAAAATAATGTTGACTGGATATGTAGCACCTGTTGGTAAAGTACAGGTACCAGCAAATCAAGATTCCTGTGAGCTCAAAAGCTGAAGAACCATGTGACTTTTCAGCCCAGTTTTGACACAAAGTGTCACTGTAAGGAGGTCCACTGAAGTCAATAGGGATTGCTTTCAAGCAGGGTGGGTTTTATTTAAAATTTAAAAATTACAAATTTTATTTAAATTACATCAATTTTTTAAAATCATTTTTATCCACTCTGCTTCCAACTATATTAGAAAACGAAGGATGTGCTTTTCTGCTTGAGGTGTGATAAATGTATCTGCAAGTAAAATTATTCCACAAATAGCTGTTTGTTTCATGCAATGTGATAACTGATCACCACTGGAATAATCTTAAATTATCTTCCTCAAGAAAAGCAAACTCACAATACAAACTTTTTTGTAGGGTGGATTTTGACAACCTTGGGGACATACCAGTTTTAGTTTTAGATGTTAATGAAGACTTCAAAAATGATGAAATAAAACAAGAGTACTTGTTGGAAAAAGTAAGTATCTCCCCTTGTGCAGTAGCTTGTTTTTCAAAGCTATGTTGCTGGTTTGGTTTGATGTGTATCCTGACATTCCACAGTGATCTCATGTGAAACGCCTTATAACTGATTCTCCTTTCTTGGGTCATGTTGCTGTCCTTTAATTACCATTCACATTCATCTGTTCCACAATAAAACTAGTACTTGAGCATCAGTCAGTTACACTGACCAGTTAATCTGGACTACTGATTGTATATTTTATTTGCAGCTGATCTAAACATTGCAAGAGAAAGCTTCAATTGTATTTATCATACACAGTATGCCATCAAAATTAATTTCTAGCCACATAAAGATGTACGTTTATTTAAGAGCACCATAAATGTTTCCAAAATCCCATTCAGAATGCTGACCCATTTGTCCTGCAGTTCTGTCATTAAACTGAAGACCAAATTGTGCCCATCTACATTAAGAACTGCTGGACAGCAAGTGGTTTAGCCAGTCTCAAAGGGGGCCCCTGGCACACTTGAAGGGGCCATCAAACTGGAAAATGTAAGAAGTTTTTGAAAGATATGTGTTGTATTTGTGTTTGACAAGGAGGCCTTGTAACCTGAGGAAAGCTACTAGAAGGGCCGTTCCCAAATAAAGGTTGAGAATAGCTGGCTGGGCATCTGACTTCAGAGCTAGTGGCTGGGAATTTGATTCCTTAGTGTGTCTCCTTGACAGAGGCTGGACTCAATGATCCATAGAGTCCCTTCTAGCTCCGCAGTTCTAAAATTATATTAGTTCACCTTTCAAGCAAAGTGGAGGTTGAAGACAATTCCCTTACTTTAGCTTCTTTGCAGTTGTTTAATGTACTATATATCTGGTTTGATACCTACATTCAAATCAGAATTGCTTTCAACAATTTGTTAAAATGTCTTGTTTTTACAGGTCAAGGCTTTTTTGACTACTTAGCAAACAAAGATATTGCTCAATGGCGACACATGAAAAACTACAATTTCTTTGTCCAATGTATATAAACCACTTCCACAGCTGTTTTCTCTATTTTTACTTGTAAAGAGAATAAGCTGCTATATAACAGAATCAGAGAACATAGCCATAAAATTAGCAGTTACTAAAGATCCAGATTCTTTCAAGAGCCAATTTGCCTTGAAGAAAATGATGACTCGCATGAACTGCTTCAAAGATAATTTAGAATGTAATGTTAACATTTTTCTTGTTACTGGAAATGTGTGGAGTATTTAATGGAGACATTGTTACAATGCCTCTACATAGTATGCTTTGCATGTTTTAAAGATGCTTTAGCTACAATAAATATTTTTTGTAAATGCAGATTTCTGTGGTAACTACTGCTAATTCATATGATGAGTATCAGTGAAGTCAAATTCACAAGTATACTTACTGGTCATATCTATCTGTGTGCTGGCCACATGTTTGCTAGGAATAATGTTTGAAGCTCAGGCTCTCTTGTGGGAAGGTACAAATTACAACATGTATATTACAGCATGTCTTCTCTTTCCTTTACTTATGAAGCAGCGTTTTCTTGTGTTCAGGACAAGGCAGAAAAAGTGTTAAAAAGCATGACTTTGAAGAGCCTGCTCCTTTGTGCTACTTCAGAGCCATTTCCATGAGTTTTACGGTACTTAAATTCAGACAAAGCATCACTGTTCCCATCGGTATTATACAGAGTATTAAAACATTCAAGAAGCAAAGGAACAAAGGCCACTTTCTGAGAACTGCTGGCCACGATCCCTACTCAGGAACTACTACTGAGTCCTGACTACATTAATTTCTTTCAACGGACTAAAATGGGCGACACAACCGCGAGGTTTCCTTCGAGCGAGCCGACCCGCCTGTACTGAGCACAGCCGCTTTTACCAGCCCCAGGATCCCGTCGGTGGGGGCCGCGAGGCTCCGGAGAGGCCTCCCAGCCCTGCTCTGGCGCCACGCTCCCCTCCATTTCGGCGACTCAGGTGCCAGAGATCCTGAAAGCCCCCTTCCCTCCCGCCCTCCCTGGGTTCGAGTCCTCCCGCCCCTCACCTTCCCAGCTTGACGGTGAGAAAAGGAGGAAGGGCCGGGTTAATGCCACCCGTTTCCTTCCGCTGCGGCCTACACAAGTCAGGCTCTCGGCCGGCTAGGCCTCAGAATGGCCGCCGAGCGCGTAACGCGCAATCTAGGCAACACCCACCACAATGGCGGAGGCAGGACGTGGTCAAAAGGAAGCAGGCGAGGAGGGGGGGAGGGGAAGGAGCCCTGGCTCGGAACGAAGACCGAAAAACCCTGGAAGGGGGCCGGACGGGGGGGGGCGCGCGCTCCC